CTAAGGGATAGGCATTGTAATCATTCCCATTGTACAGATGAGGAAACTGGGGCATGGAGGGATTAAATAATTTGCCCAAGGCCACACAGCTAAGTAAGTGGCTGATATAATATTGGAACCCAGGTTTGCCTGATTTTTAAGTATTCCTCTTTTTTTTCTTTTTTTGAGACTGAGTTTTGCCCTGTCGCCAGGGTGGAGTTCAGTGGCGCAATCTCAGCTCACTCAGGTTGTTCAAGCCATTCTGCTGCCTCAGCCTGCCAAGTAGCTGGGACTACAGTCGCACACAACCAAGCTCGGCTAATTTTTTGTATTTTAGTAAAGACAAGGTTTCACCGTATTGGCCAGGATGGTCTCAATCTCCTGACCTTGTGATTCACCCTCTTCGGCCTCACAAAGTGCTGGGATTACAGGAGTGAGCCACTGCCTCTTTTCGTTTTGTTTTTTTTATTTTTTTATTTTTTGGGTTTTTTTGAGACAAGGTCTTACTTTGTCACTGAGGCTAGAGTGCTATGGTGTGATCACTGCTCTCTGCAGCCTAGATCTCCTGGTCTCACGCAGTCCTCCCACTTCAACTTCCCAAGTAGCTGGGACCACAGGCATGAGCCACCGTGCCCAGCTAATTTTTTTTCTTTTTTAGGGACGGGGTCTCCCTATGTTGCCCAAGCTGCTATCAAACTCCTGGGCTCAAACCATCCTCCCACTTCAGCCTCCAAAAGTGTTGGAGCCACCGTGCCTGGCGGACCGTTCCTTTTAGAAGAAAAACAATTTATTTCTTTTGGCAGTGACAAGTAGGGCGTTATTTGTTTTGTTTGTAGTGTGATGTCCAGAAATTAGTACAATATGCTAGATTTGATGTAAACAGCATAAAGCACACTGGGATTATTACGTCCTTTAATTTGGTCACAGTATAATATATCAATACCCGTAAGACTGCATTTGATTTTTTAACTGTAATACAAGATTACTGGTTCATATAGAGATTATAAAAAATCCTCTGGTTCTTATTTTATTTTTTCTTTCTCCCTTGACTCTACCATCCCCCACCATCTGCTAGCCCATCAACTGTCCCCTCCACCCCCATAACCAATGTATCAACCTACTTGTTAACATTTTTCTCTGTACTCATAAAATCACGTATAGACAAATACAAATGTACACATATTCAATGCAGTTTTTTTGTCATTTAAAAAGTGACTACTTTTTTGTCTCTTTTACTAAAAACATTTTTTTTTTTTTTTTGAGACGGAGTTTCGCTCTTGTTACCCAGGCTGGAGTGCAATGGCGCGATCTCGGCTCACCGCAACCTCCGCCTCCTGGGTTCAGGCAATTCTCCTGCCTCAGCCTCCTGAGCAGCTGGGACTACAGGCACGTGACACCATGCCCAGCTAATTTTTTGTATTTTTAGTAGAGACGGGGTTTCACCATGTTGACCAGGATGGTCTCGATCTCTTGCCCTCATGATCCACCCGCCTCTGCCTCCCAAAGTGCTGGGATTACAGGCATAAGCCACCGCGCCCAGCCCAAAACATTTTTGTGTGTAAAATCCCTCTAAGTCAACTGGTAGAGTACACATTCATTCCTTTTTATGGATGTTCCAAAATGTGAATGTACTATAATTTTTGCAACCATCACTCTATTGATGGACATCCACAGTATTTACAATTTGTGTGTGTGTGTGTTGCCACTTAAAATGCTGCAACAAATGTCCTTGGACATATGTCCTATAGTGTTTTTACTCCAATAGTTTTATTGAAACTAATGGTTTTATTCCAGAGGATAGATTCCCAGGACTGCAACTGCTGGGTCAGAGGGTATATGTATTTTATTTATTTTTTATTTTATTTTATTTTTGAGACCAAGTCTCAGTCTACCACCCAGGCTGGAGTGCAGTGGTGCAATCTTGGCTCACTGCAACCTCTGCTTCCTGGGTTCAAGTGATTCTCCTGCCTCTGCCTTCTGAGTAGCTGGGATTACAGGCATATGCTATCATGCCTGGCTAATTTTTGTATTTTTAGTAGACATGGGGTTTCACCATGTTGGCCAGCAGGGTCTCGATCTCCTGTCCTCATGATCCACCCACCTTAGCCTTCCAAAGTGCTGGAATTACAGGCGTGAGCCACCGCGTCCAGCCAAAAGGTATATGTATTTTTTAAATAATAGCTGTTGTGATAGAATATTGTTTGCTAGGGAAAAAAAAGTAAAATAATAGCTGTTGCCAGATTGGTTTCCAAAAAGACTGTAACACTTTATATTTCAGTAGCAGCACATGAAAATACCCCTCGCCCCCCATCCCTGCAGCAATAGGTGTTATAGTGTATTCAGTAGGCATTATAATAAAAACCGTGAAATAAAATCAAAAGAAATTACTTCAACATATAAAGACTACCCCAAATGACAAGGAACTGTGATACTAACTGGCAAAATGTGAAAATTATTTTATTGAAAATCAGCAACTACACATGAGTTTTTAGTTAAATAAATCTCTCAAGTTTATTTCACGCTTAACTTTAAAATTAACACATAATTGACCAGGCATGGTGGCTCACACCTATCATCCCAGCACTTTGGGCAGCCAAGGTGGGTGGATCACCTGAAGTCAGGATTTCGAGACTAATCTGGCCAACGTGATGAAACTCCATCTCTATTAAAATACAAAATTAGCTGGGCATGGTGGTGCATCCAGTAATTACAGCTACTTGGGAGGCTGAAGCAAGAGAATCGCTTGGACCTGGGAGGTGGAAGTTGCAGTGAGCTGAGATCATGCCTTTGCACTCCAGCCTGGGCGACAAGAGCAAAACTCCATCTCAAAAAAAAAATTAACATATAATACACATATAAAATATACACAAATCATAAGTGCACACATCAAAGATCAATGAATTATTGCAAAGTAAAAACATTTGTATAACCACCACACAGGTCAAGAAAGCTATTACCAGCATTTCGGAAGCCTACCTCATGCCCCCTTCGCCTTCCTATAGAGAACCAGTCCTGACTTAATACCACTGAATAGGCCTGGCGAGGTGGCTCATGCCTGTAATCCTAGCACTTTGGGAGGCCGAGGTGGGTGGATCACCTGAGGTCAGGAGTTCAAGACCAGCCTGGCCATCATTGTGAAACCCCATCTTAAAAAAAAAAAAAAATACCACCGAATAGTTTTGGCTAGTTTGGAAATATATATACAAGTGGCATCATGCAATGTATACTCTTGTGTGTGTTTGGTTTATTTCTTTCAACATTATCTTTGTGAAGTTTCTTCATGTTTCTGATAGCAGTAGTTCACTCACTCTCATTGCTGTACAATAGTTCATTGCTTGAATAATAAACCACAATTCGGCTGGGCGTGGTGGCCCATACCTGCAATCCCAGCCCTTTGGGAGGCAGAGGCAGGTGGATCACCTGAGGTCAGGAGTTCGAGACCAGCCTGACCAACATGGAGAAACCCTGTCTGTACTAAAAATACAAAATTAGCCAGGCATGGTGGTGCATGCCTGTAATCCCAGCTACTCAGGAGACTGAGGCAGAAGAATCGCTTGAACGCGGGAGGCAGAAGTTGTGGTAAGCTGAGATGGCACCACTGCATTCCAGCCTGGGCAACAAGAGAGAAACTCCGACTTAAAAAAAAAAAAAAAAGTCTGGGCTCAGTGGCTCACGCCTATAATCCCAACACTTTGGGAGGCCAAGGTGGGTGGATCACCTGAGGTCAAGAGTTTGAGACCGGCTTGACCAACATGGAGAAACCCCTTCTCTACTGAAAATACAAAATTAGCTGGGTATGATGGCTCATGCCTGTAATCCCAGCTACTCAGGATGCTGAGGCAGGAGAATCGCCTGAACCCACGAGGTTCAAGATGGCACCATTGCACTCCAGCCTAGGCAACAAGAACAAAACTTCATCTCCCCAAAAAAAAAAAAATTTAGCCAGGTGTTGTGGTAAAGCCTGTAGTCTTAACTACTTGAGAGGCTGTGGCAAGAGATCACTTGAGCCCAGGAATTTGAGGCTGCCGTGAGCTATGATCACACCTCTGCATTCCAGCCTGGGCACAGAGCAAGATCTCATCTTAATAAAACAAAACAAAACAAAACAATATAAATATTTGTGGTCTACTATATTCTAGGTACTGAGTGGGGTTAGAACAGCTGAAAAAAAAATAGACCATACCCAGACTGTCATGAAATTTACATTCTACTTGATGAGATAGATATAAATAAAAATTCAGATCATTTTATGAGGAAAGTGAAATGGAGCAACACTAAATGAGGAGGAAGGCACATAACTTCAGAAGGCACTAACCATGTGAAGACTGGGAGTATACCATTCCAGGCAAGGGGAACAGCAAGCACAGAGGCCTTGAGGAAGGAATGGGCTTCAAGAAACAAGGAGAGCAGTGTACCTAGAGCAAAATGTGAACAAAGGCAAGTAGAGGAAAGGTAGACAGAAACTAGATTCTGTAAGGTCTTAAAATTCTTTTATTTACTTACTTATTTTTTTTAGAGATGGGGTCTCCCTGTGTCGCCTGGGGTAAGGTACAGTGGCTATTCACAGGAGCAGTGATAACATACTGTGGCCTGGAACACTGGGGCTCAAACAGTCCTCACCCTCAGCTTCCCAGTAGCTGAGACTACAGACTCACGCAACATGCCTGGCAAGGCCTGTTACTCTAAATGCAGTGGCGAGATGGACAAGAGATGTACCATCCACATCTTCCTTTAAGGCAGGACTTGATGCCCAGATGTGAAGCATGTAGTCAGCAAACAGCTCTTTCAGGATCTGCGTCAGACACAGAGAGCCTCACTGCTTAAGGATATACCCTTCTTGGAGCAGACCACATCTGGAGACTAAGTGATCAGGGTTATAAAGCCCCAGTCATTTTAATCAAACAATTCTAATGGACAATTCTTGTTTCAGAGCTCCCTGTTGGGTGGGCCAAAGCTATTTTGGGTCTGCATCACTTATTTCCTCCTCTGTCTAATTCAGATTTCTCTTTCTTCTTTCACAGATGTTAAACCTTAATAACATCTTGAATCCAAAACTCAATCTCTGCATCTGTGAAAACTCAACCTGTGACAAATGGGAAGCCATTGAAGGATTTTTGAGCAAAGAATTCAAGTGGTCCGATTTAGGTTTTAGATCACTCTAGCTACTGTATAGAGGATGGACTGTGGGAAGTAAAAGTGAGAACAAGACCAGTAGCAGTGGCCCAGGGGAGAGATGGTGGTGATTTGATCTAGGGAGGAGAAAGGGGGAAGTGGATGGATTTGGGATATAATTTGGTTGTAGAAGTGATAACTGGTTTGGTGGGCATGGTGGCTCATGCCTGTAATCCCAGCACTTTGGGAGGCCAAGGTGGGTGGATCACAAGGTCAGGAGCTTAAGACCAGGCTGGCCAACATGGTAAAACCCCGTCTCTATTAAAAATACAAAAATTAGCTGGGCATGGTGGCTCGAGCCTGTAGTCCCAGCTACTCAGGAGGCTGAGGCGGGAGAATCACTTGAGGTTGCAGTGAGCTGAGATGGCACTGCTGCACTCCAGCCTGGGTAACAGAGCAAGACTCCATCTCAAAAAAAAAAGGAAAGATAACTTGTTCATCTCAAGCATTTTGATCAATTACCTTGCAGAAAACAAATTTAGGGTGTTGAAGGAAACCAAAATATTTCTCTCTAAAATACTAGGGATTTTAGTTAAAATTAAAAGGTTAAAACACATGGGCACACTGCCCTTCCTAACTCTGCCTTCATCAACTCAGAAACAGCTCAGAGACAGCGGTGCTAGAGGATCCAGAAGCAGGCTTTACTCTTCCCATTAATTTACCTTCCCACATTTTCCTGCCTTTTGGAAGCCTAACATACTCTTCTTTGTTTCATCACCATGTAAGATTCATGGCTCTGGCTGAGTGCAGTGGCTCACGCCTATAATCCTAGCACTTTGGGAGGCTGAGGCAGGTGGATTGCTTGAAGCCAGGAGTTCGAAACCAGCCTGGCCAACATGGCATCACCCTGTATCTACTAAAAATACAAAAATTATCTGGGCATGGTGGCACATGCTTATAATCCCAACTACTCAGCAGGCTGAGGCACGAGAATCTCCTGAACCCAGGTGGTAGAGGTTGCATGAGCCGAGAGCATGCCACTGCACTCAAGCCTGGGTGACAGATCAAGACTCTGTCTCAAAAAAAAAAAAAAAATTCATGGCTCTTTGTTTAAAATAATATTTAAACAAGGTCCCTAAGCCACTGCCTGGAGAGAGAAATACTTTTGAACTGAGACCTCTCCCATTTGGGTACAGCATGTTAATAAACTTGTTTTTCTTTTGTTAATCTGACTGTTGTTTTCAAGTGTCTCAACTAAGAACCTAAAATGGGTAAAAAAAGAAATGATGTTTGATGTATTCTCCCCAACAGTGTGTTTTCATTTCTTTCATCTACTGTCCAGTAATCATTTTTAAAAAGAAAAGAGCATTAGTTACTGCCTGTGTGATGTGGCCCCTGCTTACCTGCACTCTCCCTCCTGTTTCCTGTTCCAGCCACCTCAGCTTTTTCACTGTTCCTCCAGCATGGCAAGTTTATTCCTGCCACATGACTCTTTCACATGGTGTTTTCAGATTTTCTCTGTGGCACTCTGCACACATTGCTCACCTAAATTCTATTCGTCCCTCAGGTAGCAGTTTAAATACTGTGTCCTCACAGGATTTCTCTAGCACTGCTTCCTCTCCCAGTGAAGCTAGTTCCTGTAATTATGGGCTCACATAAATCCCTAGGTTTCCTTCCTTCCTTCCTTCCTTCCTCCCTCCCTCCCCTCCCTCCCTCCCTCCCTCCTTCCCTCCTTCCTTCCTTCCTTTCTTTTTTTTGAGATGGAGTTTCAGAGTTTTGCTTTTGTTGCCCAGGCTGGAGTGCAATGGCACGATCTTGGCTCACTGCAAGCTCCGCCTCCCAGGTTCAAGCGATCCTCCTGCCTCAGCCTCCAGAGTAGCTGGGATTACAGGCATGCACCACCACACCCGGCTAATTTTGTATTTTTAGTAGAGACAGCATTTCTCCATGTTGGTCAGGTTGGTCTCAAACTCCCGACCTCAGGTGGTCCACCCGCCTCAGGCTCCAAAAGTGCTGGGATCACAGGCATGGGCCACCATACCTGGCCAAAAAGTTATGTTTATAGGACACTAGCTCAGTACATTATAGTTCATCCTGTGGAATGTTATGCAATATCTGAAAACAATGTGATAGATATATAACAATGCGCATAATACTGTAACTCTTGGATAAAAATATAATTTTATACAAATTTGTGTTTTTGTACAAATGGTATCTTTGTATTTTTATACAATTGGTTGTATTATGGTAGAGTATGAATGTAAATTTTCTGGACGGATGAACAAGACACTGTCAATGCAGCCGGGCGCGGTGGCTCAAGCCTGTAATCCCAGCACTTTGGGAGGCCGAGGCGGGTGGATCACGAGGTCAAAAGATCGAGACCATCCTGGTCAACATGGTGAAACCCCGTCTCTACTAAAAATACAAAAACATTAGCTGGGCATGGTGGCACGTGCCTGTAATCCCAGCTACTCAGGAGGCTGAGGCAGGAGAATTGCCTGAACCCAGGAGGCGGAGGTTGCGGTGAGCCGAGATCACGCCATTGCACTCCAGCCTGGGTAACAAGAGTGAAACTCCGTCTCAAAAAAAAAAAAAAAAAAAAAAAGACACTGTCAATGGTGGTTGCTACTAAACTCTGGAGTAAGGGATTGGCTGATAGAAAAAATAATTTACTTTTCTATTTACACTTTTTCCTGGATCGATTGATTGATTTGTTTACTATGTGATATACTGTGTTTAACTTTTTAAACACTTCTGGGATCACCTTGAAGTGAAAAAAAAATTTAATACAAACATTAAAACAAAAGTTATGTTTGTGCACAATTGATTTTCTGAAATAAAGCTCTTAATTATATGTCTACACATGGAGCATGAGTTTATTCATTATGAAATTAATATCCAGCTCTCTGGTCTCGGCCACAGAAGTGAGATGATGAAGGCAACGTCATCATTTGGAAAGCATCACAGTAAGACGCACACGTTGTGCCGCCACTGTGGCTCGAAAGCCTACCACCTTCAAAAGTCGACCTGTGGAAAATGTGGCTACCCTGCCAAGCACAAGAGAAAGTATAACTGGAGTGCCAAGGCTAAAAGACGAAATACCACCAGGACTGGTCGAATGAGGCACCTAAAAATTGTATACCGCAGATTCAAGCATGGATTCTGTGAAGGAACTACACCTAAACCCAAGAGGGCAGCTGTTACTGCATCCAGTTCATCTTAAGAATTTCAATGATTAGTAATGCAATAAATGTTCTGGTTTTAAAAAGTACAAATAAATAAAATAATTAATATCCAGAAGAAGTTTATTATGTTTGAAAAGGATTTGAAAGTTAGATTTTTATTTCATTCTATATAAATTCCCAAGATGGAATAATTTTGGGGAACAACCAAATATAAATTAAACATTACGCCAAGCACGGTGGCTTATGCCTATAATCCCAGCGCTTTGGTAGGCTGAGGCGTGCTGATTACTTGAAGTCAGGAGTTCGAGACCAGTCCGACCAACATGGAGAAACCCCGTCTCTACTAAAAATAAAAAATTAGCTGGGCATTACCAAGGCTTTTAGAATGCTTTTTCTCATTTGCTGTGGACACGACCATAAAAAAATTTCCCGGTAGGTTTGCTATCTGCTACCTTGCTAGCAATCAGCCTATTCGGAATATTTGATTAACTGTAATAGAAATGCAATACAAATATAATGTGAGCCCCATGTGAATATTCTTTTTTTTCTAATAGCTGTTTCATCGGTAATCAATGAGATTTTAAAATTGTCTTTTGGGCAGTGTAGCCTAGATCTCTTGAATCATGTAAATGTGCTTTGCCCTTGTCTTGTAACCCTTGTGAATTATAACCCTTGTGGATTGCAGTTTGTGTGTAGCCGTTAACTCAGGCTGGTTCTAGGACTCATTCATGTTCACTCACTGTACAATCATCTCTGGAAATGTAAAATTTACTTTTATATTATTGTTATGTAGGGCTGACAGGACAAGTAGATTAAAATAAGCATCAGTTTCATTAAAAAGGGCTAACCTGAAGATAAATCTTTTCACTCCAACTCTTACTTTTTTTGCTTTTTTTTTTTTAAACCTTTCTGCAAGTCTGACACTCTCTTTAGATGATCTAAAGTGACTTTGATGGACAGTGGAAAAAATCACAACATGGAATTCCTTGAATAAAAATTTATTGACTTAAAAAAAAAAAGCTGGGTGTGGTGGTTCACACCTATAATCCTAGCACTTTGGGAGGCCTAGGTGGGTGGATCACCTGAGGTCAGGAGTTCAAGACCAGCCTGGCCATCATGGTGAAACCCCATCTTTTAAAATTAAAAAAAAAAAATTTTATTTACTTAAAAATAAAATTGGCACAGCAGCTGCGCATCCCGGGGCTACAGACCTCCTCACGTTTGCAGCGTAGCCCGAGTCTGTCAGCACCCAGGGTCCTCAGCAACCACGTCAAAGCCCCATAGTGAAGCAGGGACTGCCTTCATTCAGACCCAGCAGCTACATGCAGCCACGGCTGACGCATTCCTGGAGCATATGTGCCGCCTGGACATTGACTCACCACCCATCACAGCCTGGAACACTGGCATCATCTGTACCATTGGCCCAGCTTCCCGATCGGTGGAGACGTTGAAGGAGATGATTAAGTCTGGAATCAATGTGGCTCGTCTGAACTTCTCTCATGGAACTCATGAGTACCACGCGGAGACCATCAAGAATGTGTGCGCAGCCACGGAAAACTTTGCTTCTGACCCCATCCTCTACTGGCCCGTTGCTGTGGCTCTGGACACTAAAGGACCCGAGATCCAAACTGTCCTCATGAAGGGCAGCGGCACCGCAGAGGTAGAGCTGAAGAAGGGAGCCACTCTCAAAATCATGCTGGATAACACCTACATGGAAAAGTGTGATGAGAACATCCTATGGCTGGACTACAAGAACATCTGCAAGGTGGTGGAAGTGGGCAGCAAGATCTACGTGGATGATGGGTTTATTTCTTTCCAGGTGAAGCAGAAAGGTGCTGACTTCCCGGTGACAGAGGTGGAAAATGATGGCTCCTTGGGCAGCAAGAAGGGTGTGAACCTTCCTGGGGCTGCTGTGACTTGCCTGCTGTGTCAGAGAAGGACATCCAGGACCTGAAGTTTGGGGTTGAGCAGGATGTCGATATGGTGTTTGCGTCATTCATCCACAAGGCAGCTGATGTTCATGAAGTTAGGAAGGTCCTGGGAGAGAAGGGGAAGAACATCAAGATAATCAGCAAAATCGAGAATCATGAGGGGGTTCAGAGGTTTGATGAAATCCTGGCGACCAGTGATGGGATCATGGTGGCTCGTGGTGATCGAGGCATTGAAATTCCTGCAGAAGTCTTCCTTGCTCAGAAGATGATGATTGGGCAGTGCAACCGAGCTGGGAAGCCTGTCATCTGTGCCACTCAGATGCTGGATAGCATCATCAAGAGGACCTGCCCCACCCAGGCTGAGGGGAGTGATGTGGCCAGTGCAGTCCTGGATGGAGCTGACTGTATCATGCTGTCTGGAGACAGCCAAAGGGGACTATCCTCTGGAGGCCATGCACATGCAGCACCTGATTGCCAGTGAGGCAGAGGCCGCCATCTACCACTTGCAATTATTTGAGGAACTCCACCGCCTGGCGCCCATTACCAGCGACCCCACAGAAGTCACTGCAGTGGGTGCCATGGAGGCCTCCTTCAAGTGCTGCAGTGGGGCCATAATCGTCCTCACCAAGTGTGGCAGGTATGCTCACCAGTTGGCCAGATACCACCCACGTGCCCCCATCATTGCTGTGACATGGAACCCCCAGACAGCTTGTCAGGCCCACCTGTACCGTGGCATCTTCCCTGGGCTGTGTAAGGACCCCGTCCAGGAGGCCTGGGCTGAGGACGTGGACCTCCGGGTGAACTTGGCCATGAATGTTGCCAAGGCCCGAGGCTGCTTCAAGAAGGGAGATGTGGTCATTGTGCTGACTGGGTGTCGCCCTGGCTCCGGCTTCACCAACACCGTGAGTGCTGTTGCTGTGCCGTGATGGACCCCAGAGCCCCTCCTCCAGCCCCTGCCCCACCCCATTCCCCTAATCCATCCATTAGGCCAGCAATGCTTGTAGAGCTCACTCTGGGCTGTAATGTGGCACTAGTGGGCTGGGACACCAGAGAAGAAGATAAACGCCTCGCTGAAACATGGCTGTGTTTACAGCCTGCTCTGTGGGACCGCCCAGAGCCTGGCTGCCCATCATGTGGCTCCACCCAGTCAAGGGAAGAAGGAGGAATGCCGGACTGGAGGCCCCAGGAGCCAGATGGCAAGAGGGTGACAGCTTCCTTTCCTTTGTGTGCTCTGTTCAGTTCCTTTAGAAAATGGATGCCCAGAGGACTCCCAACCCTGGTCTAGGGGCAGGAAACAGCCAGTGAGAGTTAGGGGCCTTAGCACACAGGGCAGTTGTTCCATTTAAGCCGACTCTGGCCCTGGCCCTTACGTGCTTCCCCAACCCCTTGGGCCTCCCCAGTTTGCACCTGTCCCTGCCCTCCACTCAGCTGTCCTACACCAAACACTCCACCTTCCATTTTCCCCCCACTACTGCAACACCTCCAGGCCTGTTGCTATAGAGCCTACCTGTATATCAATAAACAACAGCTGAAGCACCAAAAAAAAAAAAAAAAAAAAATTAGCCGGGCATGGTGGTAGGCACCTGTAGTCCCAGCTACTCCGGAGGCTGAGGCAGGAGAATCACTTGAACCCAGGAAGTCGAGGTTGCAGTGAGCCAAGATCACACCAGTGCACTCCAGTCTCGGCAACAGAGCAAGACTCTGTCTCAAAAAAATAAATAAGTAAACATTACTTGCTCACAGTTTTATTTTTTTCTTTGTCTTTCCTTTTTGCAGTGAGGTCTTGCTATGTCGCTCAGGCTGGCTCAAACTCCTGGGCTCAAGCAATCCTCTTACCTCAGCCTCGAAAGGGCTGGGATTACAGGTGAGCACCACTCCACCTGGCCCAAATAATTTAAAAAGAAAATCATACAAAATTCCATCACAATTTTAAAGCAAAATATGACCTTTGATTTAGAATATGATTATATTTTAATCATATGCATGATACAAATTATATCCAAAGATAACAATACCTAGAACACAAGAGACTCTTAAAATGGGCCTGAGCAGCATAACTCTCAACTACATAAAAAATAAATTTGTGGGCCGGGCGCAGTGGCTCACACCTGTAATCCCAGCGCTTAGAGAGGCCGAGGCAGACAGATCACGAGGTCAGGAGATCAAGATCATCCTGGCTAACACAGTGAAACCCTGTCTCTACTAAAAATACAAAAAATTAGCCAGGCGTGGTGGTGGGGGCCTGTATTCCCAGCTACTTGGGAGGCTGAGGCAGGAGAATTGCTTGAACCTAGGAGGTGGAGGTTGCTGTGAGCCAAGACCACACCATTTCACTCTAGGTGACAGAGTGAGAGAGACTCAGTCTCAATAAATAAATAAATAAATAAATAAATAAATAAATAAATTTGTATCTCATTCAGCCTATGGCATTTGAAAAAATATCGCTTAATGTGAATAAGGAATGACAAGCTAGTCAGAAGAGGAAATAGTTGAAAGGGATTAACTACTCCTTTCTGATTAGGCAAAGCCTGTGCCTTGCATTTCCCTGCCTCTGTCTTTCTGCTGTGACTATTTCTCTCTCTCTTTACCTTGACTTTGGAACCCTTGCCATCCTTCAAGAAGGGCAAGAGGCCATTGCTTTTAGAAAGCAGTATCATGATTGCTGGTGCACTATATAAGGTCTATTTATCTTTCTTTCACTAAGAAAGATAGTTTTTTAAAAGGTGGATTTTATAATTCACATACCATAAAATCCACCTCAGATTTTATCCACATCTGAGGTGGATTTTATGGTATGTGAATTATATCTCAATGGAAAAAAAGAGAAAGACAGTTTTCATGCTGGAAGACGAAGAACAAAGATAGGTAAGAAATTTGATCGGTCTGGGCAACATGGTGAGACCCTCTCTTTACAAAATATCAGCCGAACATGGTGGCTCATGCCTGTGATCCCAATACTTTGGGAGGCTGAGGCAGGTGGATTGCTTGAGCTCAGCAGTTCAAGATCAGCCTAGGCAACATGGAGAAAACCCGTTTCAGCCAGGTGTGGTGGTGCATGCCTGTAGTCCTAGCTACTCAAGGAGAGGCTGAGGCAGGAGGATCACCTGAACCCAGAAGGTGGAGGTTGCAGTGAGCCGTGATCCCACCACTGCATTCTAACCTGAGTGACAGAGTGAGACCTAGTCTCAAAAAAACCAAAACAACAAAAAACTCAAAGTGGAAAGATAAAGATTTTGTTCAGGATTAGAAAGGCAAACCAGATCGGTGTGAGCTCTGCCTCGTTAGCTATTTCTGTTGTGAAGCTAGAGAAGACCTGCTAAACAGTGGAGAATTGGTAACATCCCAAGAAAATCTCTTCACTTCTTTCTGTTATTTCACTTTGTATAAAACGAGTAGGGGCAGCCCGGAGCGGTGGCTCATGCCTGTAATCTCCGCACTTTGGGAGGCCTACGCGGGTGGATCATCTGAGGTCAGGAGTTCCGGACCAGCCTGGCCAACATCGTGAAACCCCATCTCTACTAAAAATACAAAATTAGCCAAGTGTGGTGGTGTGCGCCTGTAGTCCCAGATACTCAGGAGGCTGAGACAGGAGGATTGCCTGAACCCTGGAGGTGGAGTTTGCAGTGAGCTGAGATCACGCCATTGCACTCCAGCATGGTCAACAAGAGCCAAACTCCATCTCAAAACAAACAAACAAGAAAAAAAAAAGAATGGGGCAAAGTGTCTTCCTAAGTTTTTTTTTTTTTTTTTTTTTTTTTTTTTTGGGAAGGGGGTTTTTTTTTCTTGTTACCCAGGCTGGAGTGCAATGGCGCGATGTCGGCTCACCGCAACCTCCGCCTCCTGGGTTCAGGCAATTCTCCTGCCCCAGCCTCCTGAGCAGCTGGGACTACGGGCACACGCCACCATGCCCAGCTAATTTTCTGTAGTTTTAGTAGAGACGGGGTTTCACCATGTTGACCAGGATGG